CAAATAGAGTAAGATTCCTGAAGCACCCAGAGTCAGTCATTTGCCACTGTCCTGCAAAGAAGGATCATACATAAAATACACATTTCACATGCCATTTTTTGCAGAAAACACATATTTAAACACTTTTTAAAGGCTTTTTATCTACTAGGGTGGCTAGTCAATCCCTGTTCAATAACCAAATAGCCCACCTGTGGTTTAGACTGCAACTATGTAGAGAGAACCTTATTTACAGTTTCTGGGACAGAGTGTATTATCTGGCATGATCAAGTCTGAACAAGACCAGCATGTTCAAACCCTCAGTCATGATGACTTGTTACTTTGTGCTAGCACAACCATCAATGGCTCCCAAATAGTTCTGTTTATTGAATTTCACTCAAAAGGCTTGGATCAACTTGTGGTATGGTTTTTTTCAGATGCTTTCCAAAGGTGCCACATGCTAGGATCACCTCCTCCAGATCGATAATATCAAGAAGTCACTCTCCTGACAGATTGACTATGGTGACATTTGAATCAGTGTCTCATGGTCAGATAGCAAGCATCCTAACCACTTGGCTCCATACACATATAAACAATTTCTTATATTCCTATAGGAATACAAACATATGGGAAATCACAAATTGATTATTTACCATTTTTAATGCTATTCATCTGGCTATAAATTATGTAAACAATCACAATATTCTATTTTTTTATGTCAATAAATATTATTTTTGAATTTATGAATAATATGATGGCCTAAAATGCCTTGTAAAATTTTATTGCTTGGTTTTATTGAATGTGCAATGTTTTCATTTTTAAACAGTATGTAACTAGAGATGATATGATCAGTGAATTTTCTTTTTCATCTTGTCTTTTATAGCCAACAACATATTTTGAAAATATTTGTCATTATATTTCTCAGTCTTTCAATGCTTTTGTCATTTTTGATATGAATAGAGAGCCGAAGGAGTATTCTTCCATACACATAAGAATTTCATTTAAAAACTTGATAAGATTTATATTTGTTATCTTATATCAAATATTCAGCAACTTACTTGTCAAGACTGGAATCAAATTTTGCTTAGAATATAAAAGAAGAGTCTGCAAAGTTATCGGTCCTGACCTAGCATCTCAACTTTAGTCATTCTCCCACCGCCATAATGTGGCTTCTCTTGGACTTTTCTATAAATATTTTCATTGCAATTGTTCTAATAAGCTATCCTCCTTAGTATCTGACTGCATGAATTTAAGTGTACTACTAGATTGGCAATTAGGTCTCATCATTTTATTGTTGAAATAGATGAATGTAACTGTAAGTTCTATTCTAATAGTTTCTTTTCTCACACTTCTCGCCTGTGGGAGCTCCTTTCTGATTTCTTGCTTCCCTGCCACTTATGATCGTCAAAAATTTAACATCCATTGCCATCTTCTCTCTTCATGAATCCTCTTCCTCCTCTCTATTCTCAATAGCTCCTTGTGTCTTAGTGGAGTTATCAATTTGCTTGGAATGAAATGATTAAAAAGAAAATACATGAAATAAGACTCGAAGTAAGCATGTATAAAAAAAAAAAAATGAAAGTCCTTTTGATAAATCCTTCCCGCTTGTGGAACTTTCTTTTTTTGCTTCCCTGCCACTTACAATCTTCAAGAATTTAAATTGCCATCTTTGCCTTCTTCTGTGTACCTGAATCCTCTTCTTTTATTGTCCTTTTCTTAAGTCTTCTCATTCTCTGTTGCTCTCAGTAACTCTTTGCATCTTAATGGCATTGTCGCTTTGCTTGGGGTGAAATAATACCTCCCCATCAAACAAATTGGCAAGCATCATTTAACATACATTGTAGGCTCACAAACACTTATTGGGTGTAAGATTACTAATACTACATCACCATGTGTGACTTTCTCATCATTCTTTTTTTATAACAGTGGAAAATAAGTTGCTTATGATAATTTTTCAATGATGGTTTTTCTTTGTTAAGCTTTAATGTAGAAACACTAGAATATTGTGGTTTATCTTTGTAATTTTTGTTTGAAAATATATATAAAGTGTATCAATTTCACTGCCCAGTACAAGACTGTGTTTCTTGTCATAAATCTATTACCTATATTGGACATACTACCACCTCCTTGAGTATACATGTCACTTACCAGATCATAGTGCCATAAAAAACATCTAGCCACCCATGAATTACAGGATCCCTTAAAGAAAATTCTGGTTGAAAACACAAAAATTCTATATAAATCAAGTTACTGGAAACATCTTGTTGTGAGAAAGGCCCTGCATATAAAACATCTTGCTCCTACTATCAACCTCACCTTATTCAACAGTGGTAATGGTGTGTTGAGAGTTTTTTAAAAACAATAGAAAGACACTCACTTGAATACCATCCACACTCAACACATGAAACCTGGAATAACGCTCCTGCTAGTATTCAAAACAACACAAAAACACATTTTATGCAGTCAAACTTGAAGAGAAATTAACAACATCTAAAAATAAGCCCCTTTGAAAATGTCTAAAGAAGTAGTCAAAAGTGCTTGGAACAATGGACAATACAGACAATTTTTGTAATCCATTACTCCCACCAGACAGAAAAATGTAAGAATGCTAAAAAAAAATAAATAAAAAGTTAATTAAATTTCACTTGTCTGTCATATTCAACGAAACATGTTTCAAAGAAAGGTTGCTGCCCAAATATACATTTTATATATATATATATATATATATATATATATATATAATATAAATTTGAACAAGAATCTTATTGAATAGTAAATATATAAGACAATTCAGAAAGATTCTATTTTGACATGTTTTGACGATAAACCAATGTCATCTGAAAAACAATTTTTATTACATAAGAACATTGAAGACTTCATTTGTATTTAACTGCATCATTGTAGAAATTTAATTTCTATAACAATATCTTATTTTTCCAGAAGGTTGGTGATCATGACTCTCCACAATTTCCTGTCCTTTGTAGCTCTTAATAAAATTTGTCTTTTTGTTATCTCTCCCAAACGCTGTCCATTTACTAAAGCTTGCTAGGTAGTTTATGTGTTGCTTTCCTCTGTCCTTCTTGCCTTCAATCTGTACTGTGAGTATCAGATTTTCAAAGCCTTCTCTCCTCATTATGTGCCTTAGAAATTTCAACCATCTCTTTCTGGTATGAAGTATAAGTTTACTTTTAGTTTCCATTTTCTCTAAAACTTTGTCATTGTTTACATGTTTGGTCTATGGTATTCTCAGGTTTCTTCTGTAGAACCACATTTCTTTTATGCCTCTTCATCTTTGAGGAGATTGTCCAGAATTCTCTGCTATATAGGAGGAATGATATGTAACAGTTCAGTACTATTTTCTTTGCTTTCTAATGAAATTTTTCTGTTTCTTAATACTTTACTGAGCTTATGGGAGGCATTTTTCCATATCCCAATGTGACTTTAGATTTTAGTGCCACAATTTCTGTCTTTTGTTAAAACACTTCCCAGATATTTAAATCTTTGTACTTGTTTGATTTTGGTATCTCCAATTTGTAATTTGCATGTTGGGCTGTTCCTTTTGCTAACAACCATGCATTCTATAATTCTGTAATTGATGTTTAGTCCTTTCTACTCACTTTCCTTCTGTAAAAATTTCTGTAGTTTCCTTTCTATGTTTGCTATCAACACTATGTCATCTGCACATCTTATGTGCTTAAGATTGTTGCTGCCAATAATGAATCTTGGTAGGATTTCTATTTCTCTTAATTTAATTCTATAAAATGTTGAATAAGTCTGTTGAGAAGACCCACCCTTGTCTTACACCCCTTTCTAATTTGTTATATTACTGAATTCATTTTCTATCTTCATGTAGGCAGTTTGCTGCCAATGAACCCAAACCCAGGAATGTTAAATATTGATCTGAATTGATGAATGTAATCATGAAGGTCTGAATTTCTGTTATGAGAAGTTATCTTCACTTACATTCAGACTATTGTCCTCATCATAATGTTATGACCTGTAAAAGGCTGCACAATGTCTGAAACATTATAATAACAATAACAAAGATACAAACAATATGTAAATAATATAATTATGAAGATGTCCTACATAATCTTCATGGTATACAGCAGTTTCTTCAAACGAACAAGCACAATCTGATTGGATTATTTGGACAAATTATTATCTAAAATTTATGCATGCAAAGAAAATGACTTCATCTCCATGTATAAATGCTTCTACGACATTACACAATCATCAGGTGTCAGATATTTCTTCATTTCAGATGTTCTGCTGATTTTAAAATGATTAAAAAAAATGAAAATTTAATTGAAAATAAAATTGGTTATTTTTTTTTTTTTCAGCATCAAATTAAATTTGACGTTCCAGAAGATTTATGATTAAGAAATTACATTTAGCTGATTTGATTTAATTTCCTTTTTTTTTTTTCTTTTAAATGGGAAACATCCATTTGGATGTTACTATAACACGCCATTTACAGATTTATCCTATCAAAAATCATTTGTAGTAATATTTTAATCTATGTAGCATTTACTTTTCTCTCCTTTGTATAGATCTACAATCAAATATATTTATTATTCTTTTATATCTACCAATATACTCTGCAAATTTACAAACAAAGCTTTTGACCAAATCATGTTGAAAGATCAGTTCTCATATGATCACTAAGGTTAAACAATATTGAACCTGGTCAATACTTGGATGACCTCTTGGGAATATCAGGTGCTGTAAGCTTGGATTTGCAAGTGGTGTAATTGATAACGGCTGACAATTCTTAATCAGAGAGCTGACTTCCAAATCCAGTTGGGTTTGTTATATTCATTTATAAACAAAAACGCATGGGAAAGGTATGAATCCACCTCTTCTCCCCCCAGGTATGGGTCAATTAGTAAGACTTGTATCAATAAAAGTATTATTATATCCAACAAAAATAAATAAAATTGCATACAAAACTGGAATTGGAACTCAGCTCTCTAATTAACAGTTCTGAGCCATTATTGATTAGACCACCCACACATACAAACTTACAGTGCCTAGTATTCCCAAGCAGTCACCCATCTAAGTATTGACCAGGCTTGATGTTGCTTAACTTCATTGATCATATGGGAACTGATGTTTTAATGTGATGCAGCCATAAGCCTATTAAAATAAGAAATATTCTACATGATCACAGAAGAAGTACATTAAGATAATTGTATGGCTTATTTATCAAGTTTAAGATAATTTTTATTTTTTTACTATGCCACCAGTAGAGTCAGTTTATATAACTGACTCTACTGGCAATTTCACCATCAATATAGTAGCCTCTTCTGATGATATAAGAAAAAGTCTTGCACATGCACACATTTTTAACTGATTTTTTTTTAAATCCAACATTATTTGTTACTATAAATATTATATTTAGTGGTACATGTGTTTGAGTAGACATCTTTGTCAACCAGCTTAGAGATTCAGACCTGCTACTAGGGAAAATATATTACTCTCACACATGCACTCTCAACCTCTCATCATTAAACACTCACTCTCAGCCTTGTCATTCACTCTCGACCTCTCTGTTTTTGTCATTCACTCTCGACCTCTCTCTTTTTGTCATTCACTCTCGACCTCTCTCTTTTTGTCATTCAACCTTCACTGTTAACTCTGAAATAACTAAGATCTATCACTCAAGTACCAGTAATTTTTCGAGTGACATTAAATTAGTACTTTGTTTTTTTAATCTCAACAAGACTCCACATTTTTGTTTTTGTGTTTTTCCTATACAAAGACAAAACATTTTTTTCATAAACTCATTTCTGCCTATTTTCAATCCTTAAGTTGGGTTTTTATTCCTAATAACTTCATCTTTTATTATAATCTCTCTCTTTCTCTCCCGTCCATATTAATTCCAGCTCACCCCCTCTTGTAATTTGGTACCTCAGTTTTATGAATTTAAGCAGAGTACTAGATTGGCAGCACTAGGTCTCGTCAGTTTGCAATTGAAATGGCTAGATGTGATATAATCATAAATTCTGTGCTAACAATTTCTTTTCTCACGCTTCTCAGTTTGGGGACTCTCCTCCTAACTCTTGCTTTCCCATCAGCTTTGATCTTCAAAAATTTAAATGCAATGTCAATTGTTATCTTCTGTCTTCTTAATTCCTGTTCATTTATTGTTCTCTCTCCTTAATAACATTTTTCTTTTTCTCATATTCTCTCAAACTCAATAACCCCTTGCATCTTTGTAACTTTATTAACTTTCTTTGGGTGGAATGATTAAAAATAATGTATTCTCTGATCTAAAAGACAATTTATTAGTAACACAACCTAATTTCCACTTCTAAATAATGAGACATTCCATTGTTACTATTGGCAGTATTACTCAATACCAATAATTGCTTTTTATACCTCCTGATTCTTGTAATCTTTCTTTGGATATTTTTATTTTTAATGATTAAAAAAAAAATCAGAATTCTTTCATGTATGTGGCAATTGTTTGGAAATGATAATAGATTATTCATGCAGAAAATAATACCAATGCTATTGCAAAATTACTTAAATATTTAAATGCAATGTCAATCATTATCTACTGTCATTTTAATTCTTGTTTTTTTAATGTTCTCTATTCTTAATAGTGTTTTTTCTCATATTTTTTAACACTCAGTAACCCCTTGCATCTTTAGTGACTTTATTGCCTTGTTGGGATGAAATGATTAAAAAAAAATATGGCAGCCATTTCTTGATGATAACAGATGTATCATCTTTCTTTTTATATTTTTAGTTTTAATGATTTAAAAAATAAATAAGCAGAATTCTTTCTTACATGTGGCAATGGAGTTAATTGCTTATATAAAAATCTACAATTACTCATACAGGATATATAATCAATATAACTGTGAAATTAGTTAAGTATTATCAGGATTTTTTGGGGTGATATGTATCATGTTATCATTCCTTGGTCATTTTGATTTTTAATGATCTAAAAGCAGAATTCTTTTCTTACATGTGACAATAAAGTTAATTATATAAATAAGAATTTTATATTATACATGCAGAATATATAAATAAAGTCAGTATAAAACTACTTAAATATTAATTTTTTTCATGGTATGGATAAAATAGTTTTTAAATATTCTACTCAATGAATAACAAAACATGATTGGCAGAAAAAAGTTTTGAAAAAGCAACATGAAAGTATGAAGACTTTCTTGTAGATTACTAAAAGCTTCATTATAAAAGTGTATTTTTCTTTAATTACTACTATACCTTGTGAATCATTCAGTTTATACTCCCTGATATTACTCATAATTTCTCCACAATTTCTTGTCCCTTGTATCTTTTTGTGATCTCTCCAAAAAACCTGCTCCACTATCCATTCATTCAAGTTTGCCAGGTAGGTTGGGCATTGCTTTCCTCTGTCTCACTTACTTTCAATCTGCCCTGGGAGTATCAAATTTTCCAAGCTCTCTTTCCTCATTATATGGAATTTTGGAATTTTAACGCCTGATGTTAAGTGTAAATGTCATTTTTATTGCCATTGTCCCTAAAACTGTCATTGCTCACATGTTCGGTCCATGGTATTCTTAGCAGCCTTCTGTAGAACCACATTATTGTTGCTTCAAGTCTCTTCTTCATCTGTGAGGTGATTATCCAGCAATCACTGCCATATCGAAGGACTAATACTATATAACATTTAGTACTCTTTTCTTTGTTTCTAATGATATTTTTCTGTTTCATAACAAAAGAGTATTTTTCTTTAATTACTATTATACATTGTGCCCCATTCAGTTTATACTCCCTGATATTACTCACAATTTCTTCATAATTTCCTGTCCTTTGTATCTCTGCTTTCTGCATTTTCTTATATTCTTTAACTCTTAGTAACCTCATTGTATCTTAGTGGCTTTATTGCCTTGCTTAGGGTGAAATGATTAAAAAAAAAAATTCTCTTCTCTTCAATTTACATTGAAATGCTTGTAAAAACACATGCCTGTCTGCTTACATTCATTTCATCTAAAAAGTTGATTATTACCTTTGGAAATGTTTCAGTTGAAAAGAAAGATGTCATTTTCTATAACAATATCAAGTTTACCATTCCCTTTTTGTTTCTATTGCATGGCAATAACATCTCTTTGATAACAATTACATTTTTTCGTGCTTTTTGTTTCAGTAATTACTACATAATTATATTCATATATTTTTGTTAGTATTTCTTATTATTTTAGATTTTTCTTTCTTTAGTGAGAATACTCTTCTTTCTGTAGCCTTTCAGAGATAAGAAAGTGACCATTGAATTATAGTAAGAAAAATGTAACAACAACAACGTTGCTTTCTCTTAAATTACCGTTTGTACCTTTATTTAGTACGATAGGGAATAAACAGATGAGGTAAATTTTCTCATTGCATGATTAACTGTTTGTCACATTTGACATCAAACAATTGTAAATAAAAGACATTGATGTAATCCTCTTAAGTTTTCAGAATTTTGTTGATGAACTACTGTCATTATGATTAATTTTTAACTAGTTAGGTTTTCATTTTATTTTGTTAGTCTTTATTACAATTCTCAGGTATCTTTTTTTTTTTAGATTTATTTTATGACTGTTCGAAGATCATTTCTTCTTTCTATTCTGTTTCCTTAATCATGTAGAATAAACAAAAAATAATTAAGTATTGCAATAAAAAAGAAACAATATTATGAGAGACAAACATGTCAAGAATTAATAATGTAAGACTTTGACGTGAGAAACACAACAGAATCTTATAATGTCATGGTAATGGTAATATTAGCCGTTTCCTTATAAGGAAACTCGACATTCGTTGACTGATCAGCCAGTCCTACTTTCAGCTGAAATTAATAAAATATTTCTCTTAAAACAGTCTTTCAGATAAATAGGTTTCTCAAGTCCAATATCTGTTATTGCTCTTTCCAGTATTAATGGAAGCTTTCTTTCTGGTTTTAATTTATAAAATATTTCTCTTAAAACAGTCTTTCAGGAAAATAGGTTTTTCAAGTTTAGCAACCATTCTTGCTCTTTCCATTCTTGATGGTGGTTTCCTTCCTAGGTTTTTGTTTGAAGTAGTGTGGAACATTAACGTCATTATTTTCTCTTTAAGTTACATGTGCTATCCTAGTTTTTGCTGCTGTTGAAAGTTCTCAAGTGATGTGGTTTCTCTTCTTTAGTACTGCTCTTTGTGATTCTGTAGCACCAGTCCATGACATCTGATAAAGAATGGTCCCCCTCTCAGACCTAAAATGTTAATTCCCACAAAGTTATTTTTAACCATTAATTCAAGAAAGTGGTTGTATATGGCTCATAGATTAGATATTTTCTGAATGGGTTAGACGCATGACATCCATATGAAAGTCTTGATCTGATAAGGCTATTTATGAACATGACTAGTTTCTAGGTTAATGCTTTGGTTTTGCAGCAATAGAATTACTATGATTCCATTGGAATAATATAAGCTCCGAGGAAGATACTTTGAAATTAGTTAAAATGTTCTTTATTTTAAGTATTAATTTACCCATGTGATAAAACCATCTTATTTTATCCTTGTTATTGGGTATTATTTATTATCTTTTCCCATATGAGTCTTTAAATACAAGGTGCAGAAATACTTCCTACATAATGGTAAGACATTAGTGGCAATAGTGTCTTCAGCTAGCTACCATTATGTGGGAAATATTTCTGGGAAATATATGATGATTTTTAAGCATAGATTTGATGTGGCACAAGGCCAAAAGTTTGAGTCACCCAGTGAGGATTGAACTCACTATTAAGTCGTAATTATTCTTGCAAGACAAGCTTGCTAACCATAACACCACGTTGAGGTACTCTTCTGGGTGGTATATGTGTGAAGTATTTGTGCTGCACCCTGTATATAAGATATATAAATCCCCTCGTGCAAGGGAGATAATTCTACTGCAACAAAAATTTATAGACATTGAAGAAATTATGGACAATATTATATAATATAGCAAGATAATTATTAAATATAATTGCTTTGCATGCTTTAAGATAATTCTCAGTTCAAAATGTTAAGTACAAATAACAGTTTACCATTGCATGACATTTTCTACAAAAAATAGTTTACTATAATTTATATTTAAATATAGCAGGTCATGAATAATCACAGTTGAAA